CCGGCCCAGGAAGGGACGAGCACCCTGGTTCCCAAGTCTGGTTGCACCCTCTTTCGGGGTTTATGAGCTGAGAGACTGGCAGTCTAAGGACCATTAGCCTCAGGTTGCAGAGGAGAGTCAGGCCTCCAGATGCAGAACGCAGGTGTCTGTCCTGAGAGCTTGGGTCACATTTTCTACCCCGACGTCCTCAGGACTCTAGGCTGGCGGAAGAGACGCAACCCTCCCCAGGCTAGTCTGGGTCCTGCCGACCATGAAACTCGGCTCATGAAACCCAGTCTCTGGAGCTGGAGTTCGATAGCTGTAGGTGGTGAACAGTGGGTCTGGGGTCTCCAAGAGGCAGGAGTGCTTGGCCCAAGCTCCGTGTAGCCCCACCGGAGGCCTTCTGATTCACGGGGAGCAGAGCAGGCACGGGCGATGGAGCACTGCCTCTACCTTCTACTGAAATCTTTAAAGAAAACCGTCCATGAGAGCCTCTTGGTCCTTTGTGTGTGTTGCGCAGGTGGGATTTCCTTGCCTCACGCTCATCGGGCGCTGACTGCAGCTGCCGAGGGTCTGTCTGCAAGAGGTGCAAGTCTTCTTCCAGGGTGCCAGCTCTTCTCCCTGACCTTTACAGCATCAAAGAACTTCTCCCTGCTGAGCAGGAGTCCTCTTGGCACTCTGCCCAGATCATTCTATCACCAGTGCCTCATGGGATTCACCTCTCGCTCTGGGCAGTGGCAGAGTGCATTCCCTCTCCCAAAGACCAGCCCGTCTGAGCCCAGGCTCTTCCCGCGTGAGCCGTGGCTTCCAGCTCCTCACCTAGCCACACAGTTTGTGTCACTCACTCTGCACCGGTGGAGCCTCCTTTCGCTTCCCAACAGTGATGCCTAGCCAGCCAGTGTTCATGGTCACTCGTGAGAGGGGCATTTCCCTTGAATTCTCTTGCCAGCTAATTCAGAATAGAAAAAACCAAAGTCTTTGACACATTTCCTCCCAATACTGCCCAGCTGATCCAGATGATCACTATCAGAATTTGATTAAAGATCCTTGTGTTCTCTAAAAAATAAGACCCTAAAGGAACCTCACTTGGGGATTTCCCTA